AGTTTAAAGTAGCTCTTAGTGGTCCTCGCAGTTTATTGAAACATTAAATTTGTATCCCAGCCATGATGGTGTATCTTTAGCTGTTGCCTAACTCACGTGCTCGGTCGGGTCCCCTTACTTCAACCGCCAATTATGCTCTCCTCTTGGGTGTGGGTTGAGCCTCAGTCAGCGTGGCGAAGAAACCAGAAACATCAATTCCTGGGCAGTGGAGTGAACAAAAACAGACAAAATGCAAAAACCTTCCTTTCAGCTCTGTTATCATTTTCCAGTACAAGCACAAACATCACAAACATTGCCAGAAAGACTGACCGGCAGCACTCCCGGAGGACTGCAGTGAACTCCACAATCTGTGGTTAGATATGGATGAAGGTCCGAGACCGGACCAAACCTGCTTTTGTTGTCTTTAAGGAAATCAGATGTAGAAATTTTGCCTCGTCACAGCTTCCCATGCCTGTTTTAGCCTGTCCTGACAATGTTATTCTATAACAGTGGTGCTCAAAGGGTGGTTTGAGACCCACAATGATGGTTGTAGTTTACTGAAAAACACAGTTTTGTCCAGTTACGCAACAAAACAACGTGATCACCTCAGGTTCTTTGACATCCTCTGTTACATTTAAGTCTACCTTACATCTGTAATCTGTGGCTGGTTTTTTTACAAAACAAAATGGACAAAAATGGATTGATGGAGAGACTTTACCATCAAGTACTGCACTACTAGGTCTAAAACTGTAGGATAAAATCATATTTTTAGACAAATCGCTGGACCCTTGTATGAGGAGTTTAAATACAAATACTGGAAAAATGAGTTGAAAACTAAATGATCATTTTTTAAAAAAGAACCACTATTATAGAAATGATTAGAAATGCTATCTTTCAAATGGAGGATGATCTGGTCTGGTTCAACAAAATCTGAAATTTAGTCCTTCGTTGAGTGCCGTTAGAACAGAAGGCGTTTGAAATTCACATGGATCGGTTTGTTTGTATGTATTGTATGGTGGTTTTCAACAAGAATAAAAATATCTTGAATGATTACTTGACTTGACTATGGTTACAGTGTTCATGTGGCCGTAAACTTTTGCCAAACCTAGTGTCCAGAAATGTCATGATAAAGTGCTTGGATGAGACCATACTACATATACAAATTAGAAAACATTCCTTCGAACACTATATTCTGACCAATGATCAGATTGACTAACCATAAGAAAAGAAGTTGCAAATAGTGACTTTTTTTTACATTAAATTTTGTCAGCGTGACCTTACGTCATATCTGACACTGGTGTGTTTCAAAATTCCTGACCTTAAGTTGGAAATACACACAACCTGCCCCCGGTGGCCGATAAGGAAAGCATCTACTCTAGTATTTCAAAGAATACCTTAAAGGTTACCACAGTTCTACAAGTACTACTCCCTCTTGATGCACCGACCCAGTCCCCATTTATGTCCATTTTAGGGTTGTGGATTGGGTGTATTACCCAGCAACACAGTGGCACAGTGAACCCGACCTCCCACCTACTGTACACAAGACAAGAACTAGAAATGCAATGTGAAACAAGTGTTTGAAGCAGCTTTCGTGAGCTCCAGAGAAGTCTGGGTGTGTCGCCATTACCTCATAATTTACCATATATTTGTTTTTGTTTTTTTAATTTTCTAAGCACATTTAAAGCAAGTGATGTCACTGTCACTGTCTGAGCAGCCACAAAAAACTGACAACATGTGCGTGTTTTACAACGAGGAGCGTTTGTTAAAACAATATCAAGGGTTCCTCCACCGCCCTCAGTTTGAAGCCTGCTCAGCTAATTTCTAATGGTTATTACAATAAGGCCGGGCGACCACATCAAGCATGTGCGGTGGTGTAACGAGCAGAGCAGAGACGGCGCTGCCATGCACACTCGCAGCCTCCAGTTCTGCCACCAGGAGCACAAGGACGCACAGTCCTTCTCAAATGAGAGTGGCAGCGTGTTTAGAAAATAAAAAATATGCTGCAAGGTTATAAACAACATCCAAATTACACTGTTAACTCAAGTCTTTCACGAGCCAAAGAACACTCTCTCTCCAAGGCACAGCTCGAATGTTTCCTCAGATGCAGATGCAGGTTGTTGTTTTTATGTTTGTTTTTTTTTCTTCTACACAAGGAGAGATGAATCATTGTTCTCTGAACACGGCACTAAAAGTGGACGACCTGTTTTGCAGTGGTTTGTCCGTGTTTAAAAACAAATTCTGAAATGATCTGAACCTATAAACATTTTTAAAAAAAAACCCTAACTCCACCCTCTGTTGCTCTGTCATTTTATCTAAATCGGACTTTGAGTGAAATGGCCGGGCCTCCTCTTGGGCCACGAACATAAAGAGATTTTTTGAAGTGATACCGTCTCACTGCGAAATATATAAAAATGGTGGCACCAGAACATGTACTTTAGAGTTCACCAGTCATTCATCCAAATGGCAAGCTTTAGTTGGTGTAGAGTTGACTTAACAAGAATTTGCCCAGGCGATAAAGTGAGAACAAACGTGCAATCTTCTCCTCCTCTTCCTTCCAGTCTAAAGGTCAACATCTGCCCTAAGGCTTCTGTTCCTTCCTAAAGGTCAACATCTGCCCTAAGGCTTCTCCATAAATATCATCGAAAATTAATTTTTAAAAAAATTACAAGAAAACTGATTAAAAACTGTCAAATCTTTTGTCATTGTTACGTCATATTAGGTCTTCTGGTAGGTCTACCCTTAGTTAACTCGAGTGCCTGTAGGCTAATTATTAGCAATTTCAGTTAAGGTTTAGCCATTACATATTATTTTTGTCTATTATCAATTCATATTTGTGCTTTCTTCTGCTAGCTGTTAATTAACTGTTAGCTGTTAGTGGTCAATTCTTGCCTGACATACTTGCTAATTATGAGGTATTTATATTTTTCGCAAATTAAACTTTACAAAATTATTCGACTAACTTTTTTATTTCATTTGTTTTTATTTATTTTTTATTTTATTAGCAAATTAAACTTTACAAAATTATTTGACTAACTTTGTTTTTATTTATTTTTTATTTTATTTGTTGTACAGTTTTCGTTATTTTTCCCCGTATTTTGGTTCCAATATTTAGAGACCATTTTCTAGGGTAGCTGCAATCACATCGCTCTTTGATGATAGTTTAGTTTAAGTTTAGTTTAGTTTAATAGAAATTAACCTCAAGACTATTGTAAAACTTGAGATGTTAACTTTTCATGTCTCGCGTCTGACTAAAAGGCTATAAAATAACCAAATGGATTTGTCAAAATGTGTCCAAAACTTTCAAATCGCTGGAAGAGCATCATCAACACCTCCAGTTCTACCTTCTTGCGGTAAAATATAAAAACTTAACTTATTACGTTGGCTCCAGTGTGATCCTCCTCCAGTCTGATTTATGTGCATCATTCTTTATCAGTCCACCGCCTCAGGTGGTCGCTGTCGCACCTCCACAGTGAGCCGTCACTGCTGTCTATGAAGTGAATTCAAATTCAAAAAGAAAAAAAGATCACAAATTACATTTTGTTTCATTTGACAGGAAGAGCGAACTTAAACAATGCTTGCCAAACTTGATGAAGTGCTATAAGCTGTGGAAAGTGGCACTTTGGAAAATTACAGATAATTTGGTCTAATTTACAAAAAAGTGGGGTTCAAACAAGTTCCATGTTGAAGAATCTCTAATTACAGCCCCGGTGAAAGATGCCTGTCACAGTCACGTGTGGAGCAGACGCCCCATGTAGAAACCCAGTGTTGTGCATCTCATCGCTATCATTTGCTGTAAATATACATACATCGTCAGCGGGACTCACAGTATATGCATCATGTACGAACGTGGGACGATGGCGTACCATAAACTGACCCGTGTTCAGGAAGTCTTTGGCATGGAACATAAAGTACCCTACACATCGTTTAGGGCTGCTGGTGTTCAGGAACATGTGATTATTTGGGTGTATGCATTTCCTATGTGGCCGGCCTGAAATTGACAAATTACAGTTGGAGGATCTCAAAGTAAGCAGGGCAAGGTGGAGGGGTGAGGGTAAGGGAGGATAAAGCCAGAGGACAGCGCTGATTAAGGAAATATAACATCATGGCAGAAACCAGTAGTAATTGTAGAACGAGTCTTTAAACCTATGATGATGTATGCACAATGGACGGGGCCAAAAATACCAGAAGTGACCACAAGGTAAGGGCCTTACCGCTGCACTTATTGTACTGTACACCGGATTGAGCCTCTGCAGTGGTGTGGAACTCCAGTCAAACCTGCCCTCTAGTGTCGCAAAAGAGGCAGTGCACACAAATAAGCTCGACGTTTGAGCGCCGTCGAAATTTAAACAAACTCTTAAAACGGTTGTACACACGAAACAGTGGCAGAAATCAAAGGTGCTTTGTCCTCCATCAGCCACAGCTGACCAAATAACACGCCAGGAAATCTACGGAACTAAATATAGGAGGACCTAAATCAGGTAGAGCCCCAGAATAACAGCACTTATGAGGAGCATTTTTAAAATCTAATAATCTTTTCACCCATGTACTCAAACAAACTCTCAGCCACCATTTCCCTTGTTTACCTTATCAGGCCAGACAGTCAGGATGGCTACATTTGGCTGCACAGATGTAAATATGGACTCTGGTCACTGTACGTGCTCAATGCAGCCTCTGTGGAGCAGCACAGGTGCCGTAACTAATCGTGTGTTTAGATTATGTTTTTGGCATTTTCACATTTAGGCAATCATCCTTTAATATATAAAAAATCCCCCCTGAGCAAGTGAATTACCATTAAACCCTGTAAATACAAATATAAAAAAAAGTGCTAAAAGCAAAGAAAATCTCTTTATGTTTATTTATTTATTTTTTCACTGGAAACATGATTATTTTGCAGTTAAGAAGAGGGAGACCGAAATAAGTGGTAATCATGTGTCTGGATAGTCATAGACATTGAAGCATCCTGATGTGTCATGCCTGCTTTGGGCAGATCTGACGGCTAATTACAGCCTAGCACGGAGGAGGGAGGTACTTGCATGGTGGGGGCTCCCTTTTTTTTTAATGATGCACGGGGCAGATATGGTATAAATACCCACATCATTGTACTGGAAGGCAGCATATCCTCAGTTGTGCTCCCACCCTAAGGATATACAGCAGCACCAGAGGCTCACTGGTGCAGAAGAGATTGTTTCCCCCTTTGGATGCCGGTACGTGTTTAATCTGATTCTCTTACCAACTCTTAACTATAGAGGGGAGTCGTCAACATATAGGATTTGTGTAGGCCTTCACTGGTTCTCATGTCAGTTTGTCGAACAGATATTGTTTTTAGCAGAACTTAGACAGTCTTGGAAGTGTATTTTGTATTCGACCTGAATTCAAAATACATGAACAGCCTCTCAGTGTTTCGCATGCATTTCTAGAGTTATTGCATTTCTTAACGGACACTTTTTGCACTTTAAGAATAGAATATTCTGTAGAATATTTTTTTTCAAACTAAAAAACACCAGCAGCTTGTTCTGCTCTCATAGGCTAGTTTTGGATGTGCTCACTGTGCTCTTTGCTCCCCTCCAGGCTTGACCTTGCATAATGGACTTACGAGTTGCTAGCATCCTGCTCCTGGTGGTGACTTTGACAGCCGCCCATGGAGAGCGCTATGTGGTGAAGAAGATGGTGAAGGCTGCCCCCCAGTACCAGCCCTACTCTGTCAAGAGCCAAGGTAAGAATTCACAACAAATCTCCTCTTCTCTCCTTCTTTACTTCCTCTGTTGAACAACACTCACACTGCAATTCTAGTTTGTCATTTCCTCACAAAGCCAAACTAAAGTCACATTTTCCCCTTCTTTAAAGACATGTTTATCCTCAAGCGACTTCTCATGTCGGTCTCTCCTTACCTTTAAATCTTCACTAAGGGAACACACATCTTTCTTGTGGTCAATGTGGGCAGCACAAGTAGCCAGACAGATGCTGTAGCCACAGCCGACTGCACTTTGCTTTGAAGGCCCAGCCCTAAATTGCTCTGAAACTTCCTTGTGCTCTGATTGGCCACAAGAGTGCGTGAGCTTCTCCAATCGCACAGTCCATTTAGACCTAAGATCTGAATAATAATACACTTGCATTTAGCTAGTGCATTGGAAGACTCTGCTCAGGCTCCACAGATTTTTCGGACATTTAACATCCAGTATTTAGACTGAAATATTTCAGCTGTGTCTCCTACAAAACCTGAGCTTTTAGAAATATTGAAATATTTCTTTAAATATGCACTTATATTCATTTGAGTTTCTTTTTTTTTTTGCAATGTGTTGATCCAGTCACTATATGCACAAGTGTGTGTGTGTATATATAGTGTATATATACTTAAAATGTTTTTTATATATGTGAATATATATATAATCTGCATTTCTTGTTTGCATTTTTTCATAAAAGAGAGAAAATTAGTGATAATAATGTTTTTCTAAACATGGGAAAATGCAAAACTCGGGAGAATGTAATGGAGTATGGTGAGACATTTCCTGGTGTTTGCTGCACATACAGGTTTTTATGGAAAAAAAAAAAGAAAGAAAGAAAAAACAGCCAGTTCCAGTTATTTCTATTTGCGAAAAGTAGCTGTTAGTGAATTATTTTTAGTTTGACACTGACAATTACAGTGCAGTCACCCAGCAGTGCGGTTTGTTTGGGTGTGCCTGCCTAACACATAAGTAGAAACATCTGTTTGCCTTCACCCAAACACGGCTCCGGTTCTCCAAAGGCTTCTGGCCTCTTACAATTAAACACATGCAACCACATTAGGACGTCCAATAAAAAAACCCCGGGGCCAATGTTTCACAAACAAAGGTGAAGTAAAGGGAGGTGAAGTAAAACTGGCTTCACATTGTTTATGGTACTTCATGTCCAAATCTCACAAATTGTCAAGAAATTTCAAGAGCGAAAGACAGTCAATTCAGAGTCTGAGGAGAGGAGACCAAAGAAATAATTTTGGAGAGAAAAAAACAGGCCACAAGCCTTAATATGAGTCAGGAACAGAATTATTGAAGAAAAAACACATAAATAGATAAGTGAACACAAGCTGCTGAGAGTTGTAGTCCAGAAAAGACTCCATCTCACTGTGTTGCACTAAAATAATCTAATCATGACCCAGTCTGAAACAGTTTTGGGTTTATTTGGCTTGTTGGTGTTTGATTGGTCCATTGGTTAATTGGTTAATTGGCACTTAGATATTTGGTTGTGTGTTTGTTTAGTCCACCTGTTGGTGGTGCATGGTACTGATTCTTAAATTCTTCTCCCTTTCCTCTACAGCTGTGGCAGGTGAGCCTGGTCCTCCAGGTGAGCCTGGTCCCGAGGGACCTGTTGGCCCTCCTGGACCCCCAGGTGAAAGTATTGAAGGTCTGCCTGGACCCCAAGGACCTCCTGGAGCTCCTGGTGCTCCTGGTCGCTCCATTTCTGGAAAACCCGGATCCCCTGGTGGACCTGGCAAACCTGGAAACAACGGAGCACCTGGTGAGAGGGGTGACCCTGGACCCTCTGGAGCTCAGGGACCTAGGGGAGCCCCTGGTTCCCCTGGAAGCCCCAAAACCTGAGCTTTTAGAAATATTGAAATATTTCTTTAAATATGCACTTATATTCATTTGAGTTTCTTTTTTTTTTTGCAATGTGTTGATCCAGTCACTATATGCACAAGTGTGTGTGTGTATATATAGTGTATATATACTTAAAATGTTTTTTATATATGTGAATATATATATAATCTGCATTTCTTGTTTGCATTTTTTCATAAAAGAGAGAAAATTAGTGATAATAATGTTTTTCTAAACATGGGAAAATGCAAAACTCGGGAGAATGTAATGGAGTATGGTGAGACATTTCCTGGTGTTTGCTGCACATACAGGTTTTTATGGAAAAAAAAAAAGAAAGAAAGAAAAAACAGCCAGTTCCAGTTATTTCTATTTGCGAAAAGTAGCTGTTAGTGAATTATTTTTAGTTTGACACTGACAATTACAGTGCAGTCACCCAGCAGTGCGGTTTGTTTGGGTGTGCCTGCCTAACACATAAGTAGAAACATCTGTTTGCCTTCACCCAAACACGGCTCCGGTTCTCCAAAGGCTTCTGGCCTCTTACAATTAAACACATGCAACCACATTAGGACGTCCAATAAAAAAACCCCGGGGCCAATGTTTCACAAACAAAGGTGAAGTAAAGGGAGGTGAAGTAAAACTGGCTTCACATTGTTTATGGTACTTCATGTCCAAATCTCACAAATTGTCAAGAAATTTCAAGAGCGAAAGACAGTCAATTCAGAGTCTGAGGAGAGGAGACCAAAGAAATAATTTTGGAGAGAAAAAAACAGGCCACAAGCCTTAATATGAGTCAGGAACAGAATTATTGAAGAAAAAACACATAAATAGATAAGTGAACACAAGCTGCTGAGAGTTGTAGTCCAGAAAAGACTCCATCTCACTGTGTTGCACTAAAATAATCTAATCATGACCCAGTCTGAAACAGTTTTGGGTTTATTTGGCTTGTTGGTGTTTGATTGGTCCATTGGTTAATTGGTTAATTGGCACTTAGATATTTGGTTGTGTGTTTGTTTAGTCCACCTGTTGGTGGTGCATGGTACTGATTCTTAAATTCTCTCCCTTTCCTCTACAGCTGTGGCAGGTGAGCCTGGTCCTCCAGGTGAGCCTGGTCCCGAGGGACCTGTTGGCCCTCCTGGACCCCCAGGTGAAAGTATTGAAGGTCTGCCTGGACCCCAAGGACCTCCTGGAGCTCCTGGTGCTCCTGGTCGCTCCATTTCTGGAAAACCCGGATCCCCTGGTGGACCTGGCAAACCTGGAAACAACGGAGCACCTGGTGAGAGGGGTGACCCTGGACCCTCTGGAGCTCAGGGACCTAGGGGAGCCCCTGGTTCCCCTGGAAGCCCTGGACCTGCCGGCCTCTCTGCCAGTGGCAAGCCTGGACCTTCTGGTCTTCCTGGAGCTATGGGACCAAGAGGAGAGCCTGGTCTGAAAGGGCATCCAGGTATCCCTGGCCTGCCAGGTCAAAAGGGTGATAGAGGGGTGGGAGCTCCCGGACCTCAGGGTGAGACAGGACCTGAGGGACCTATGGGTGCACCTGGTGAGCCAGGTGCATCTGCAGTTGGAAAGCCAGGAAGACAGGGTGCACCTGGTGAGCCAGGAAAGTCAGGTAGCCCAGGTAGAGATGGTGCCTCTGGCCCAATGGGACCACAGGGACCTAAGGGACACACTGGTGCTCCAGGTGTAGGTTACGCAGGTAAGCCAGGTGAGAACGGTGCTCCAGGTTTGCCCGGCCCAGTTGGACCTAAAGGCCACCAAGGAATTGCTGGTGCCACTGGTGCCCCTGGAGTGCCCGGATATGGAAAGCCAGGTACAAATGGACAGAAGGGAGAGAGGGGAGCTACAGGTAGCCCAGGTGCTCCAGGTTCAAAGGGTGATATTGGTCATACTGGATACACTGGTGCTACAGGTGCAACTGGCCCTACTGGTTCTGCTGGACCACAGGGTGAGAGAGGTTCACCAGGTGAGCCCGGTTCTGTAGGCCCTAAGGGTGACACAGGTGCAACTGGAGCTCAGGGACCTAAGGGAAATAAGGGAGATCAGGGAGCACAGGGTTTCCAGGGCAAGCAGGGTTACCCAGGTGCAGCTGGCTCTCCAGGATCAAGAGGTGCCACTGGTGCCGCCGGAAACAAAGGTGATGTTGGTGCTCCTGGTATTCCAGGTTCCCCCGGTATTCCCGGACCTGCTGGACCCAAAGGTCTTCCAGGTCGCGTAGGTGAACCAGGCTCTCCTGGTTCCGATGGTTCTTCAGGTGAGAGGGGCCCTGCTGGTCCTCAAGGTCCCGCCGGTACTCCTGGCCACAAAGGACACCCAGGTCTTCCTGGTCCTCCTGGTCCTTCTGGTTTGACTGCTAAGGGTATCCCTGGACCTCAGGGCCCCCCTGGTCTGCCTGGTGAGCCTGGTTCCAATGGAGAGGCTGGCCCAGCTGGCCCTCCTGGTCCTCCAGGTCCCCCTGGTGAGGTTATGTTTGAGAAGGGCAAGGGATATAGCGAGGTCATGGTTAAGGCACCAATGTCTGCTTTCACAGCATCTCTGGCCACGCCCTACCCTGCTGCTGGAACCCCTATTAAATTTGACCAAATTGTCTACAACGCTGAGAATCACTATGATCCTGAGTCTGGCATTTTCACTTGCCAGATTCCTGGAGTTTACTACTTCTCCTACAGCATCCATGTTAATGGTGCTCATGCCCTGGTTGCCCTGTACAAGAACGGTCAGCCCGTTATGTTCACTTATGATGAGTACAACAAGGGCTTCCTGGACCAGATGTCCGGAAGTGCCGTCCTCCTGCTCGACGAGCAAGACACAGTCTACATCCAGATCCCTGACGATGAGGCAAATGGTGTCTTTGCTGCCGAGAATGTCCACTGCTCTTTCTCTGGCTTCCTTATTGCCTCAACGTGATACGTTGATACAGTAGTTCCTAAAAGCCAACCAACTAAATCTGCAATCTATTTCTCAAACTAAAGTAAACTCCCTGTTCATTTTTCCTCAGCCAGATAGACAGGCAGTTCACCATTCTTTGAGGAATAGAAGCATCTCGACTTGAAAAAAAAAACAAAACAAGAAAAATAGGTGCTTAGAAGAAGGAAAACTAATTTATAAAAAAGGTGATCAGGGGCGGGGGAAGCAATCCAAGTTACCAGTGAGCTTTTGTAATGGCGACAGCATGTGAAATTGAGGCGTTATAACTGAGTTGTGTCCAGACTGTTATTCTTTTTCCACTCTGTTTCTTTTATACTGACTTCAACTGGTGAGTCTTAACTCTTAAGTGTTTGTCTGTTTTTTTTTTTTGTTTTTGTGTACAACCTTGTTTTGTTTGGATTACCAATTATCTTATTAAAAGTACACACAAATACTTTTCCGTTCAACGTGTTTTAACTGATGTCCTTGTATGTGACTTGAATATTGTGAAATGGTAACGGTCAAATTGACCGTTATGATGAAATTAAATCACTCGATACTGTCATACAAAAACCAAACTGTTTAACAGCAGCATCATTATATCCCTGAACATGCATTATGTCATGTAAAGCATAATGATCAAAATAAAAGATTTCTTAACAAAAGCTCTGTCTCAGTGGATTCTCTGTCTGTTGAGTGTCTTATTCATCCAGGTCATCTGTAACAACCAGCTTTTTAATCTCATCCAAGATCTTTCTTTAGCCCCGGTTCAGTTCGGGGCTAATATCTGGGACTTTACATAAAACATCATTAGCTAATCTGTGCTAATCTTTTCAGGGAAAATGAGGGAAATTACATTTTAACTAAGCACCAATTATTTTCAAAATATTGTTGCTCAAAGCACTTAGTGTAAAAGTTGGTCCCTGTATGATGGTAAAATATGTACATGAGAGCGAGAGTAACAGACTGGTATTTCACTGGCTGCTTATTATATTTATATACCAAATTATAGCTAATACTACCTGTTAGATTTGCAGTATTATGATAAATAGCAATACATCTCCTCTCATGATAGATCTTTCCTTGTAATAAACCACTGATTTAGATACAAGTGTTAAATTCTCCAAATGCACCCAGTGTAAGATTTAGCAACATCTAGTGGTCAACTTACATGTTGTACTCATATACAACTGACTTCATCTTTGATGTATCAATGGAACCACAAAAGGAATGTCGTTTAGCTTTGTAAAACATGGTGATCGTATACAACTGACTTCATCTTTGGAATTTCGTTTAGCTTTGTAAAACATGGTGATCCAAGATGGCCTCCTACTGTACATATAAGAGGAAGACACTGTGTTTCTTTTAGTGTTTTATAGTAGGAACAGGTCGAAATAATGTTTATTGAAACAAACACAGGCCAACAACAGTACATAGATGCACAGATACAAAAAGGAAAACCTACAGACATTGCTTTGGTAAAACTGGCAACAAGAAAGTGACTGAAGAAACTGCTTTTACTTACAGATGTGAATGGCAGCCATCTTGATTGTCCTCCAAACAAACAGTCCCTTGAGTTCTGAATAAATAGAAAAGGAAAACATCATTTTCAGGTGAATGTTTTATATTAATAGAATAAAACATTTTAAATGCAGCTGTAAAAGCACATGTTGAACAAGCCTCCCTTTGTACAGCTATAATAATCAGCCTTTTTGGTTATAGATTCAGCTATTAATAATAGCTGTCTTTTCAGTTTTAATTTCTTTTTGTGCCCTGAAGAGCTGTGCGAGGGCACGTATTTTTCTTTTTATCATTTTTTTTATTATTGTTTTATTATTCTATGGGGTTGTTTTATTTTAGTATTTCTACCAGACAATCCTATATAAGTCGCACCAAGATTTTGAATCATTTCAAAGTCCAAGTGATACATACAGGACACATGTCGCAATGAAATTTCAGTCCTCTCTGACCCAATGATTCTTGATTCGTATCCATTTAGAACTACAATGAAGAACTGTCTTTGATAGCAGTGTAACAGCAACTGTCACTGATTACCAGAAGAAACCATTTTCATAACAAATTTATTTCTTCTGAAGGTTTTGCCTCGTTACATTTTTGGAACTGCACATTAAGGTTTGCGCAAACTGAAAATAACTCGACCGTGTTTTCTAGAAACCTTGATACAGATTTGTAGCTCAGACGCTTTGAACCGTCCTATAAACAAAAAACAACCGACACTAGCACTATCTGGGTCTCAGTCTGCCGGGCTGGGACCCAGATGAGACGAGTGAGCAAGATAAAATACAGATCTTTTCCCCACATGATGGCTGCTGGTTGTCTGCTTGGCAGCCATAGTTTACAAAAGCTACTTTACCGTGCAAGTCTGAGTGTGGGAGAGCTGAAAATAGTGTGCATGTGGGATGAGGGACAGGGATGGTCCTCCTGCAAGGGAGCAGCTGTTTGATGTTCCCCGAGAGACTGAGGGAGATGGTGGTGAGGTGAGGGGCCCGAGGGACACAGCGGAGAGGATACTGGTTGGCAAAAACCACCAGAGACGGCCATCTGTGTGGCTGCATTTCCCGAGATGTGGTAAGCGACGAAGGTGGGACAGTGGGGAGACAGACGGAGCGCTGACTCTATAAGCCACACTCCAAAATATCCACGAACACTCAACTTTGAGATGTTTTTGCAAATCTTTGCGTTTCTGTATCTATTTGTAGGCACTTATCCATCTGTCCTAGAGGAGGAAGGGAGAAACTGGTGTGAAGGCATCCTTAGCTAAAGATAAAGACCACGGTGTGTGGTGTGACATTCAACATGACTGCAGGCTGCATGTGAGAGCAGGGGCCAGAGGGGGAGGCATATCCCACAACAGCCAGGCCAAGATGGAAGTGCAGACCAGGAAGCAGAAATAGAAAAGTAATGTGTAAAACACACCCTGCCTGTGGCGGCCGTAGCTGAAGCACACAGGGTTAAGGCGAGTGCAGGCAAAATAGATGGGTGGACATGAGCATGCAAGGGCGCTGCAGCTGTGGGTGACCTAAAAACAGCCAAATTTCCTTCAAAAGTTGCTGCTTCCAAAACGACTGTGGCAGTTTCAAGAGGAAAATATCCCACTGTGGTGACGACGGTGGGCGCAGGCGTCAGTTAGGTCAGTGTGGCAGTCGTTTGCTGTAGATACCGACAGGCTAGACGGCGTAAAAATGTTTGTTTCAAACACTATCATTTATGGTGGAAAACCAGCAGCTGTGTGATTGAACCATATGCAGCTCATCCCTAGATCTCATCACGTAATTATGTTGCGGTCTGTTCCTAAAAATACTATAGGCCAGCGAGAACATCTCACTTTGTGTCACTGCAAATTAGTCTGGTTTAGTGGCAACAATAGGTCTGTGTTAGCAAAACGTAGAGGATGCGAAAAGAAGTCAATGAAAGTAGTAGGTATGTTTTATAGTGCTTCATTTCAAGAACTGTAAACTGTATGGAAATGTGTTAAATTTAAATTTAAATTTCAGATGTTAGTAAGAGAAAAAATATATACAGTATTTCATATCCTGTCTTGTTGCCAACCTTATAAACAGTCTCCAAGTGTTTGTTTGTTACATCATTAGGTTTTTAAAATAGCATTACCAGTACTATGTAACATGTAACATTGATATCTCGTAACGGGTCGTGTGTGGGTGGTTCGGGGGCCAAAGATGGCCCACCGGCCAGATGTTTGAGACCCCTTTTTTAAACAATGCAGTTTCTGGAAAACCAACTGTTCTTAGTATGGCAAAAAAAAAAAAAACATGAGATAATAGAACTACATCTCCTAGTGGGGCTCGCCCCCCACTTTTGGAACCACTGCCCTAAAAGTTACCTTTATAACAAAGGTGGGCTTACTAAAAATAGATTGATTGGACCAAATGGTGTTCAGACAGGTTTCTTTTTCCTACAGACAGCACTTGGTGGTTCTTGTGATGTGTTAAATATAAATATATACTCTATGTTCTTATGAAAAAACAATGCGCATTTCAGACCTAAGAGGAAGCACTTCAGGCTTTTTGCCTTCATAAGGATTCACTGTAGCAACAGCCCACAAATAATTTGTTTTTGTTTGTTTTTTTCAAGTTGGCTTTTTTAAGATACATTTTCTGAAACATCCCTGCACCAGTGTGTAGACTTGAAGGGATGAGCTGTATCACAGTCACATGAGATGAGCATAGGGCGAAGAATTAACATTTAAAACACTGTCGACCATGTTCATGTTCAGTACTGAAACCAAATGAGCTAAACAGTAAAAAATAATTAGAGTAGATGATTGGGTAAAATGTAAAATTACTCATATAAAATTAAAGACTCGTCTCGAAACTGCCCACTTTTTCTCTAACACGTTGCCAGACAGATGGAACTCCTTGTAATTAATTTATTCCTTTCGTTCTCTTGACCTAATTTGTTAAGATAATGTAAATGTTGTCGTTGGTTTTCTGATTTCAGCAGAGTTCATATCATGTCGGTGTATTCTGTAATGGCTCTTCTTAACACACGGGACTCAACCAAGGAGTTACGAAGAACCACCGTTGCTAGGTCCCCACGGGTTTAACAACATGCTAACATGTCCTTATGTACTGTTGCCTTCTTACTGCCTTAGCTGTGGTCAGTCTTCCCTTAACTCTGGAAACAGGTTGTTGATTGCAAAC